CCCCACCTCCCTTCAACCCATCACCCCACCTCCCTTCAACCCATTACCCCACCGCTCTTCAACCCATCGCCCCACCGCCATTCAACCCATCGCCCCACCGCCATTCAACCCATCGCCCCACCGCCATTCAACCCATCGCCCCACCGCCATTCAACCCATCACCCACCGCTCTTCAACCCATCGCCCCACCGCCATTCAACCCATCACCACCGCCCTTCAACCCATCGCCCACCGCCATTCAACCCATCGCCCCACCTCCCTTCAACCCATCGCCCCACCGCCATTCAACCCATCACCCACCGCTCTTCAACCCATCCCCCACCGCCATTCAACCCATTGACCACCGACTTTCAACCCATCACCCCACGCCATTCAACCCATTGACCACCGACCTTCAACCCATCGCCACACCGCCGAATGACATGCACTTACGTGGTTATTTTGGCTGTAATTCGATTTTCAAATCTAATAGTACATTGTAAGGCAGTATTTCATATGGAGCGTCATTAAAGTGTTGTGGAGCTTCTGTTTACAAAACTTCCAATGTCTTTGATCATTTCATCATCTCTATTTTTAAGTAGAATTTATTAATTTAATGCACAATTACACAACTCGGTCGAACGTAATACGTTACACGCCAATGTGACCAGAATCGAAACAACTGTTTGATTGCAATACGCCAAAATATAAAGTCATATTCGACAAATTTTGAACTTTTTCATAAGTTCTGTGCGTTTCCCGTATTGGTTTAAATTACCAGTTGCCGAGTGAGTAATATAGGTATGTAGATAGCGTTGCCGCACTATTACGTAGATCGACCGATGCGTGTACAGTGGGATGTTAGTTCAAGTTCATCGCCCAAATATGTGTCTGGGTTAGTGTATAATAATCACTGTGTAACCGATTGAAATAATTAGAACTTAATGATTTCATACGATTAAGAGTAGGTTCTAACTGAGTATGTATTGTAAGTCAATAGACCCAGGGTACGATAGCTAGTACATGTTAGTGTATGTATACCAGCTGGTGTTTATTGATACTTGAGAACCCACTATCAGTTGTGAGAGTGACAGTTAATTAGTGTTATGGTTAGTGTGTGTGAACTTCAGTTAAAACTACAGGGAAAGTAAGAATTAGGTCAAAGCCAATTATGTGTTAACGAGTATAATTAGCAAAGATTTAATGTTTGAAGATTAGCCGTAGTATATCATAGATAATTTGTGATTTTTATTAGGAGTTTTTGAGCGTTGCTTAATTGCTTCAAGAA